TATTATTATTTATTTACAACTGTACCTACATGCTTTTTACAATTTCGTTACCTGTTTTTTTGATACTCTCTACACATTACAAAAAAACAAACTACATCAGTATTTTAAGTTCGCCTTTGTCAATTTTACACAGAACACCTTTTTCACACCCCATACTTTGAAATCCACTCACGTCCTTTTTTCCCAAAAACCAACCATATTCAGTTTTCAGTCGATAGCTGATTCTGCTGATGTACTCGGTTTTATAGTCCGTCACCTTTCTTCCTCGCATTGCGTCAGTTGAAGATAGATAAATTGTGCTCTTTGCCATTGTTAGTAGGTAATTCGCAATATGATGCTTGGACATTCGCTGAGGAAGACCGCTGTATATCTGGTGTATGCCAATTCGAGTACCAGTAAGTCTGTACACTAACGCTTTTACATAAATCCAAAGCTGTATTGTACGAGAGCAATTGAAAAAGATATGAAAACTGCTTCCAAGATTTTGACAAAACGGGCAAGTGCTATTTTCCCTGATACCTGCTTTTGTAAGAAATACTGCATCCGCCAATCTGTCTTTTGCCAATCTCCATGCAATCTCACCGTCCTTACCCAATGTCATTTTATTAAAAAATGTATTCCAATTCACCTCAATGTCTAACCACTTTCCCAGTTGTTTCTCCTTAATGCGGTACAAGTTTGCAGATAACTTTTCTTGCAGTGCTTTTCGAGTTTTCTTGTCCAGTTTTGTCATACTTCCGTCTATATTTTCAAACATAAGCTGAATAGGTTCTTCGTCGTCCTTGTCTTGCATGTGCTCGTAATAGTGATTGTGAAAATAGCTCCGTATCCTTGAATAGTGGTTTTCCAATTCTATTCTGTCCCTTCCTGAAACGTGATAGATTTTCGCTCGTAGCTCCTCCGTTGTTATCCATCTGGTTCCAATTAGGAAGTCTTCTACGGTTTTAAAACCCACCGTAACCCAGCGATTGATAAACAATGGTGGTTTAATTTCCTTCAGGAGTTTCGAACTGGTTGTTGGTATTCTCTTGATGTCTCGCAATCCTCGAGGAAACCCCTTCACTTCCATATCCAACTTATTTACCGCATCCACAATGGACAAAGCAAAAGGCGAGTGATCAGTTTGCACCTTTCGATGCATCAAGAAAAACCATTGCCATGACGTTTTGTAATTATCTCCTATCGCATTGACGTGGTTCATAACCATTTGCCAGTTCTGCACTTCACCATTCGGAAACAATTTCTGCAAAGTCATTAACCGAAAACATATCAACTTAGATTGCAAATTTACAAGCCCTAGTCCTCCCCACCTCACCGGCAAGCATAAGTCCATTTCTCTACACCAGTGTTTCCCTCGCCACATGAAATTAACAAATAGCGCTTGAAGTTCACCTATTTGTGCCTTATTGAAATGCACTATGTGTAAAACGTGCCATATTTTAGGCGCAACTGATTGGTTAACAATAGATTTCTTCCCTAACAAAGAGAGATAGGGCATTCGTCGTTTCCATAGGTCTAAAGAGGATTTAATTCTAGTTTTTATATCTGCGAATGCATACTCAGCGTCTTTCTTTTGGTCATCGTGAAAATTTATCCCAAGGACTCTAATACTCTCAGTACTCCATTGGTAACCAAGTGGACGATCTTTCCTACTTTTCCACCGTCCTGTCCAAAACCCCGTGGATTTACTTGCATTCAGTTGGGAACCAGATTGCTTGGAGAAACACGCGTAGCAGTTTGCCAACACTTGGAAATCAATGTCACTTGACACGAATACTGAGACATCATCTGCATAGGCACTCACCACAATGTTTATAGTGTTCGTGAAAGATATGCCTTTTAGGGATTGGCGGCACAGGGAAAGGAAGGGTTCAATGGCTAATGAATATAATGACCCAGAAAGGGGACATCCTTGGCGTATTCCTCTTCTCATTGAAATTGCACTCGTCAATAGCGTATTAACTCTTATCTGAGCTGTAGCGTCACTGTATAATGTAACGGAAATGCTGCAGACATGACGTCGCCTTTGGCACTCTGGAATTTTCTACGCGTATTCGAGAATGTACTGACTTACATTGCTTGCGTGTATAAATGGTTGCGGACCGAACATCGCGGCAGTCTACTATCGAACGAGATCGAGTGCGAACGAAACATAGAGCGCGAAAAGCTCATATAAATTTCGAAGTGTGTGATATAAATAATCGATATAAATTGTACGGATTTTATAGTGTTTTAGTTTTGTTTAATAAATATTGATATAAATCGAACCCGAATTTATAAATAACGTTACATTGGTGTCAGAAGTGGGATTAATTAAATTAATTAAAAGTAAGTTTAAATTAAGTGCTTGTACTTGTGTATGCCTGTAACAAGATCTGCTGCCGCTAAAATGGAAGAAACGATGCTCAATTTGCTCCAGCAAATCCAAAATGGCCAACAGGTGTTGCAACAAGAAATAAAAAGCAACCAAGGGAAGTTGGAAGAAAATTCTAGAAATTTTGAAGAGAAGTTCGAGAAAATGGAAGAAAATTCTAGAAAGATTAATGAAGAAAATTCTAGAAATATTCAAGAGAAGTTCGAGAAGTTGGAAGAAAATTCTAGAAAGATTAATGAAGAAAATTCTAGAAATATTCAAGAGAAGTTGGAAGAAAATTCTAGGAATTTTGAAGAGAAGTTCGAGAAAATGGAAGAAAATTCTAGAAATATTCAAGAGAAGTTCGAGAAGTTGGAAGAAAATTCTAGAAATATTCAAGAGAAATTTGAGAAGATGGAGGAAAATTCTAGAAAGATTATCGAAGAAGTCTCTACATCAATTGAAGAAAAAGTTGAAGATAGAATTACGGAAGTTTCCAAAACATTTAAAGCAACATTCGTTGAGATTGAGCACAAGTATGAAGAGCTGCGCGAGCAATTCTTGCGACTGACTACGGAAGAGCGTACTGACTACGGAAAAGCGTACTAGTAGTGCCCCAGATGAATTACTGATGGACCGTCTTCTTGAGGTGCCACAGTCTACTCATTACAAGAAGGTCGACCCAGAAACAAATACAAGGGTAGAAGGCGACGTTCAGCAAGCCCGAGTAAAGCCACCTACTTTTGATGGTAAGATTCCTTGGACCACGTACGTTCGACAGTTTGAAGCAGCGACTGCGGCAAATAAATGGACTCTTCAAGACAAAACTACAGCCCTGATTCTTGCTCTGAGAGGAGATGCTCTGGATGTGTTGCGGACCATCCCCGAGGACCAACAGAACTTCCAACAAATAGTAGCGCGACTCGAAATGCGATATGGCGATAAACACCTTCAGCAAGTTTACTATGCCCAAGTCAAGAACCGAATGCAGAAACCTGGAGAAAGTTTGCAGGAACTTGAAGCGGACATCGCTAGACTGATTCGATTGGCATACCCTACGGCACCGGAGAGCTTTCTTGATCAA